AAAAAAAAAAAAAAAAAAAAAAAAAAAAAAAAAAAAAAAAAAAAAAAAAAAATTAATAGCGGAATAAAATACAAAAAAAATTTTTTGGTTCAGATCAACATCAATTGACAAAGATCTATGTCCATCACCAGGCGGTTTGTAGGTGTCGTCATTCATGCTCAAAATAAGTATTTCAGGTCGTTGCATTCGTTCATTCAAGGATTAGTATCTCCCTGAGGAGCTTTTTCGGACGGGATAGCAACAATGTGTTCTTCAACTATGTTTAGTCAGTTCATACATCTTTCTTTTGATAAATATTTCCATTTCGGCAACATTCACAAATTCTCCAATCTCTGAACGACATCTCTCTAACATTATGCAAACCTGCTGTAGGTCTAGCACCCTAAAGATAGTCAGATCTTGAAGACTTTCGACGATCATGGTTATTAGGCCAAGATCATCCCAAATAAGCTTGTAGGGGCCTTTTCAAATTTGATATTAATCGTTTCGGGGACCAAAGAGCCTAAAGCTTTCAGCAATGTATATTGAGATAAAAGGACTTGTTGGCAGCCTTGGCTAATTGTATGAAGTATTTCTTGGTCATCGATAATCCCTCCCTGAGGTCGTTCTTGACGGCCATAATATAAGGTTCCGCTGACCTTTCCTATTTAGGGTTAGTGTCTATAAATTCAGACAGAAATGCTTATTTTTATATCACGGGATCCAGAACCCACACGCCTAAGCCTAATCGGGAAGTATACAAACATTCAGCTCCTATACAATTCAAATCCCAAGCTTTCCTGCTAACCCGGTTCCCCCAGTGCAGTGGGCAGTCGGCTGGACGTGTGTTAAGTCATCCTGTATGGTAGTCACTGTTGCAAACTACCCTTGACGGGGCTGGAACTGACCAGCGCCAGGGTTCGAAACAGGTCGACGGGAATCCTTTTTTTATCCTTTTGCCTTGTTTCTCTTTACTGCCTTCATGACTTGATTTTCTTTCCAGATTGGCTACCCGCGTGAGGCTCTTGATGTTCTCGATGGCCCCACAATATCCCAACCTTGGCCCACCTCACCCGCCTGGCTAATATCACTATATCCACAACCATCCAAACAATACCCAGAAGTTGTCGACCCCACGAAGCCTCTTTCCTACTTACCTCTCGTGATGCTTATCTCAATACTCCACCCTCCAATGCACCGGACCCAAGTTCATCTGTCACCACGACATACATCATCCTTCCCTCCTTCCCTTTTCTCTCACTTCTGCCCTACTTGTTGTTACTTACCTTCCTCATTTATCTCTCACTCTATTCTCAAGATATCCTCACTTCCACCATGTCAAGTTCTGACAAAATACACCCGTCGTCAGGTTCCTCAGACTCTGGCACCAGTTCCTAGGCTCCTACTTTCTTTAAAGATAGGACCCCATAATGCAAGCAAGATGTCGTAACTTAGCATTGTACCTAGGTAGTAGCGGGTGCTGTGGTAAAAGAGAGGCCATATGAGCAAAGAGAAACAGTGCCCAGAAGGAGCCGTAACGTAGCGTAGCTCCTGTTATAGCAAAATGGTATAGCTCAGACACGTTACCTAGGTAGGTGTCAGAACGATACCTTTGCGACCAGTACTCTGTTTCCTTCTGCTCCTTCTTCTTCTCCTTATTCTCCTTCTTCCTGTTCCCAGAGCTTCGCATTCAGAAAAAACGATTTCATACCACTTCGGCTCCGTTTACCGGGATTTCGATTTACTACCTGGCCGCGCTCCTCCGACTCAAGTCTGAACATTTTTTCCGCACAGCCCTTCACGTCGGAGTTCTCAAAATTTGTCCTCGAGAAACTCGAAACTTGACTCGAAACTTGGGATCCGAACGAGCCTGGTTCGGGGGAGTATCTCTTCACATACGTACCCGAGGATTGGAGACCGTCCATCTTTGCCCTTTTTTCGGGAGATAAGGCTACGGTAAGTGACTCTCTTTTGACTCCCTGAAAGACTAACCTTTCATAGTCAAACCTGAAATTCTTCCACCCGTATTCTCCGGATCGTGATGCCATCGTGGGGCCACGGCACTATACAACACTGGATACAACGATGCCAGGGCGGATATATTTGGCCCCGCGCGTCTCTGGAGAAAAACCAGATGTCTCGACCGGCAACGGCTCCTGGGTCTCTACGACAGGTATATCGAAGTTTTCAAAGCAAACTCAAATCTGGCGATTCCCCCGGAGACAATCGGTGCGATCCATGTTCTCACATTAATTAGCGAATGTATCAGTTCACGAAGCGATGGAGTATTTCATCAATCAGTCAGCTGCGACGGTGAAATTGACTCCACCTAGCCCTGCTGAAACCGAGCCGACGTTAGGACCTCGAATACCTACAGAATGCTGACCTAACGCCTCGGGGCCGAAACACACCCATTTGATCACAAACGACGAGGCAGAAATGATCGATGGTTTCAGCCAGACGCTTGCCGTCTCCCAATTTCTCCCTATTTACAAAGTCCGAAGCAGCCAGACTGGCGTATTTTCCCGCGTGACTCCCAACCATTCCCGTCACTTATCGCCGAATGTGGCTGGTCCGAGTCCTCAAGCCTCCTCGCTACTCACGACTTACCGAAGAATACATTGTTGTCAACGCAGAGCTTTTCAAAGCTGATCAAAACACCTTCGACCGAGGAACGCTTCTAGATTGATTTCGGGGCTGCGTTTACCGTCCAGATAGCCTACGCAAGACATTACTATTAGTACTGTAAATAAAATGGTAGATAGGGCAGCTGGTAGTCTCACGAGGAGGGAGAACAACAAAATTAGTAAGGCGGGCTTGAATGAGGCCATTGTTGCGTTGTTGCTTGATGCTTGCCTAGAGATGGTTACGCGAAAAGAAAGAGAAAAGAAAGAAAGGTGTGTGGGATGAACACAATATGAGCTGGAGAGGGGGGGGGAACTATTCCGCATTAGGCTGTTGAGGCCGTTTTCCATTGTTGACATTATCCAATGTCACCATTGTTATTTGCAGGTGCCATTCAGGTATCTCGAGGGACTCCAGTTCGATAGGAATATGCTTTGGCAACAGAAGCGCCACCGACAGCAACGTAATCCTGCCAATCCCTACTCTTGTGGCTGTCTGCATACCTACCTATTGCCGATCTGGGCACGACAAGACTTCATATAAGGGCAAATCATAAAGATTAGGTCAACGTCCGGGGGGATAGAGTAATATCATGAATGTTCTTTGACGTGGCAAATCACCGACCTCGTTTTCGCGGGGAGGAGGCACCGACATCGTTGAAGAGGTAGATGCAGGGAGCGCGGCGTGCTGGATGAGTCTTAAATCCGAGTTGACTTGAATCGTTTATTTGTTTGACGACGAAATCAATAGCGTTCTGCAACCACCCTGAAACCTCATGCCACTTCTCGTTGGTGATTTCTTCAAGGCTAAAGAACTTCACTAAAGAGGAGTAAAAGAAGAGACCATGAGTCTCCTCCGCAGTCCAATGCGCGGATATTGTGATCGCATGTCGAGAGACTGTGGCCGGCAGACTGCGAACAGTGCGGTCGAAATATTTGCGAATTGTCACAGCTCCTGTCTCCACCCCCGCGTAACAGTAGCTCGACACTCTACTTCCCAGGCCTTTATATATAGCTTCTGTGTTTGATACAATATATTTACTTCATTACTTCAATTGAAGTCTTGTAGCGATTCTGCCATATATAAATGCACTGGCATAGGATAGTTGTCTGCCCTCTCCTAGAATATTTCGAAGATGGATCAATATCACAATTCCTCATGGTCATTACAATCTAGTCTCGACATCTAGGCATCGTTGACCCCTAAGCGCTATGCCCCTGCGTACATATGTAAGTCTGCTATTGAGTGTCCCGATCAGAGCGTGTACCTTACCTGGAGCTGGAGTCGATTTTTGGAGAACTTGTGATGCCCGGCCCCACGAGTGGTGGGTAGTGATGTTGTGCTGGGCATTTATGCTTTGCTCGCTTTCTCTTGTGTACTTTAAGGGCCTACTGTTCATACCCACCCATCGTAGCCACCATGACTCAAATTGGTTTCTTTCTCTCGCCAGGCGAGCATACCACAGCCTTGGGAAAGCCAAGCACATCGAATGGACTAACGTCGCCAAACTCTCCTAGCAAAACTCCCAGGATGAAGATCGATGTTTAAGATCTACCTGCAAGTTCCCCACCAGGGAACTAAATACCTCCCACCTAGCGAGCGAGCCAAGCGTACAGTCGACTGGCGTGTCCGACCACGGACTCAAACTGTTGCAGGCAAAGCGGAACACGCCTTTGGGGATCCTATATTTATACAGTCAGGGGTACGTTGAAGACTTAATGGCTTTGTTTATATCTTCCGATCTAATCTCTTCTAGGAAATTTTTCCTGTTCCGAAAGCGACCTGGAGTGACTCGCTGCGAGCTATGGCGATCGGTATTGCTAGCTGGTAGAAACCCCAATGATATTCTACACTTCGGCATCAATACCCTCCGCGATCGAGCCCGGTATTACTTTTCTACCTTTCATAACTTAGTACCTGCGTGATTATTACCTGTCAGAGCTATAATTATATTCTTCCCCTATGGAATCATGATGATTTTGGTTAGATTCTAACTACTACTACTGCTACTGCTGCTTTTCCAATAAGAGAAGAAAGTAAGGGTAGCCATTTCAGCATCCGTTCTTCCGCGGTCTCGTTAAGCTTTCCCAACCGCGCGATCTGGTCGTAGATCACATCGCAGACGCACCCCACAATGAGAAGACAAACTGCGAGCTTCATCCACCGTTTGTATTACCATGTGAAGATGAAATTATGC